GTTGTAATTTATTATTATTATTATTATTATTATTATTATTATTATTATTATTATTATAAAAACAATCAACGATTGTTGATTAAAAAAAAATTACAAACTATATCGAATTGGAAGTTTGAAAACGATGATGATGATGATGTTTAAGGGCTTTAATTAAGTTAACATAGCGTTTCATAACAGATTAAAAAAATTTTTTTTTTTTATTAAACAGGTTACTCTTATTATTATTATTATTATTAGTATTATTATGATTATTATTATTTTTACTACCTCGTAAAAATTCTTAGTTGATTTTATATTAACCGGTCATTTACTACGAGACATTTTATAACGAGCGACACAACTTTTGATCATTCGTTTTTATATAATTTTTTTTTTTTAAATCTTTTTTTAAACGGTTTTTGTTTTGACGTGGGATTAGAGGAGTCGTACGTTTAATTTTTTTTGTTGTAAAAAAAGTGAGATTGGTATGAATCGTGCGCTAAAAAAAATTTCGAACTTGTTTTAATTTTATTAATTTTTTTTCATATATTTTTGTTCCCTAACCTTTCTCTTTCTCCTTACCACTTTTTTCTTCTTCCACGACATTTTTAAAAAAAAATTGCTACTCTTGTTAAATTTTTTTCTCTCTCTCCTTTCCTTTTTTTTAGAGTGATTAAAAAATTTTCGTAAAGATTTTTTCAATCTTTTACTTTTTTTACTTATTACTTATTTATTACTCGAAAATTTAATAATAATAATAATAAATGAAAAACAAACAAACAAGCAAACAGAAAAAAAAATATATTAAAACGTTAGAAATTTAAAATTAATCACGAATCTCTCCGGGTTAATTAATTTCTAAGTGTAAAAAAAAATTTAAAAAAAAAAAATCTAACGCCACGTTAATAATAAATGATAAAAAATATTTCAACAACAAACGTTTGTTACTCCCACTTTGATAACAATCGTTTCTATAACCACGACTACTACTATCTATTATTAGGAACGTAGTAAAAACAATGCGACAAACGTTTGTTTCATTTTGTCGTTAATAATAAACTTAAAATTTTTCAAAAAGAAAATTTGTTTGTTATCAATTATTATTATTATTA